AAAAAAAAAAAAAAAAAAAAAAAAAAAGAGGGGGCTAGATGGAGGGCATCTAGCAACATTGTATTTTAGCCGTACCTAGGCCAGGGGACCGCAACTAACCACGCAAATAAAGAAAGTTGTCATGTAGTTTCCACGTATTACTACTATTCAAAATAAGCGCAAGGGTATATAGTAAAGAATATAAATCACATGTGGGCCCGCTAAATTACCGCTCCCCCACACTCTTAAACACCAGTTGACAGCTCCAATCAGACGTCAACGGTACTAGATCAGACCCATATTAGCGTTGTGCCCAGTTATCCGTGCAACTACGGCATAATTACGGGTTATAAATTGCGCCGCGTGGGATAAGCTAGGTCCAACCAGACCCTCTTGTCTAGTGCTCTTTGCTGGAATAGGCAAACCGTTGACGGCAGTTGACATGATTCCACAAGCCCCGGCTATCGCTTTTCACCGCAAAGCTGGGCTTTGGGAGGTGACACCCGGCTACAGAGCTATTTTGGCACATGGTATCATGTATAATGGTATGAAGTCGCTTGGGAAAAGCGGAAGCATAATTCCCAAAATATTTCCGGGAGTAAGAGAATTATACCAGCCCACAGCCAAGGGGCATTAATTTAAAGCGGTTTGGGCTTCTCCGGCTTTTTGCGCGGGCTGGCGACCTTGGGTTGCCATGCAAATAGACTTTGTACGAACACACTGTGCACTGCCCCTTATAGAAAACTGTGCCTGGATATTGAGGCCAAAACACTTGATAGCTCTGTGGTTTGTGGCAGGCCAAATGTCAACGGAAAAGGACGACCGGCTCTAGTAAGCCTATTCACATCAATAGTAACGCCTACCAAGGCTCTCGCCACAGGTCTGAAAAGGTCCCAATCATCTGTAAAACGCCCTCAACCACCTGGCTAGATGGCTTTAAGCGAAGGACCAGTCCACGTTCAATGCCCAGGTCGGCACGGCGGGGCGCGCCGGGCCCGTACGAAAGCTGTCGCAAGGGATTGATACAATGGGGTATAACACCAGACACAAAATACCATGGCGCGGCCACGCCCGTCTTTTGGTATTTTTTCGTGTGACAAGAGCTGCTCCACTAGCGGCCTCGGTTCTCGTTTGGTTTTTGGTGGAATCAAGCAATCCCACGTGTAGCCAGGAGTGCAGCATCATGCGACCTCCATGAGTCCATAGCCGACTGGCAATATGGCGCGGCAGATATAAGCAGTAGTGGCTCCACGCCAAGCCAGCATGAAGGCAGATTCAGGGATCAAGAGGGAACATGTACACTAATACACTAGGGTCCAGGAGCTTTGGCATTTCTTGTTTGCATTGCAGACAAGGCCAGGCCGCTGTGGACTATGATTTTGATATCAAATTCTGCCTTGACTGCATCGCCTATAAAACCTCCCTCTACCACCTTGAATCTCCTCTGCAGCATAGCATTCCATCATTCAACAACATCTACTGCTCCTTGGCTGATTTTACATTTATTTTTATATTGCGCACCTTTGCTAGACTTGCGCAATGAAGCTCATGTATTGGGGGCTTGCCCTCGGGCCTACTATGCTTCAAATGGGAGCAGCAGCACTTGATTCTTCCGAGAATAGCGCTACCAAACCATCTGGGTAAGAAATTAATCTTTGGCGTATAAAAGTTCTTTAGGTCGTTGCGGAACTCATCCTGCTAACTCTTCTCAGCCATATTGTAGTCTTCAAGCGAGAGTTGACAAATGATCACATCGATAGGCACATTGACTGGGTGAACCAAATGCACAAAGGAAACCTAGACGGCAGGGACGATACGGACCAGTCACAGGGTATTAAACATACCTATCGCTCAGATGCCATTGGTTTTCACGGCTACTCGGGTAGATTCTCTGATGAAGTGCTTCAGCAAATCAAGCAACACGAACATGTTAGTTTTACATTGGCTACTAATATTTGTAAAGAGTCGTCTGAAAAGCTGATTCTTCTTCATCCAGGTTGACTTTGTGGAAGAAGATCGAATCATCACCCTTGAACCTGGGAAACGAGACCAAGGCCAGGGCGAAAACCCGCCCGTAGACGCGGGCAACCGGAACAAGAAGAACGGTGTTGGCATCTTACGCCAGGGACAAGGGTAATTCACTCAAGCCTATTTCAACTTGAAAAGTGAATTTGTTATTCTAACCTAAGAAAATTAGGTACAACTCGTTCCTAGAAAAGGGACGAATCTTCGATGCTATTGTCTGGCGTGACAATGCGAAGAGGGATCAGGAAGATGGTTCTGCAGCCAATGAGACGTTTCAAGCTGAGAAAACAATGTTTGAGTTCACGCCACCTAGCACTGGACCAGGGGACTTTGCAAACATTGACATGAAGGAATACTTCACGGTGCCCGAGACAAGCGAGATCGAAGAACGTGTCGCTGCTGAAATAAAGGAGCTAAAGGAGGAGATGAAGAAGCAAGCAGAGGGAAAAGCCAAAATGATCGAAACGAATGAAATACAGACTCGGGCTGAGAATGCAAGGTGCCCCGGTATTTTGAGAAAAGAGTACAAGTTGACAGAAGATTACAAGTACGCGCTCGGTGCGTCTAGTTATCCAAGTATTTGGCTAACGCGCGTTACAGTTCCTATTTAAAGACCCTCGGTATAAGTGGCGGTGCAACCATCTCTGGCTGGGGCCAGAGCGCTTCTATATCCGGCAACTACCTAAACCAGGCAAAGGTAAAGACTCTCGCATACAAAATACAAGCTAAAAAAAAACTAAGAGTAGTCATAGTTCTCCCAGAATAGCTTGACATATGTCGCTTTTCTTGATGTAGAGAGACAGATACCTACGCCTGGTGGATTCCGGTTCAACACAGACATATACAAAAAAGAGAAGTTTGCCAAAGTCTTTGGTGATCGATGGATTCAAGGTAAGCATCTCAAACAATTCCCCGTTCCAATTCTTCCATGAGCTAAAAGGGGGCGGAAACACAGGGTTTAAAACTGGCGGCAGGATGATTGCCCGCATAACTTTTACTTCCAAAGACGGCACCGAGACAACAGACCTAAAGGCACAGTAAGTGTTGCCGCGTGTTTTCAGCCCGAGATTTACAGGTCCCAAGCAAAACTAGTACTAATACTTGTTTGTGTAGTGCCGAAGCCTCACTAAGCTTTTGGGGTGTCAAGGCAGATTTAAGCGTAGATGCCAAGAAGCAGCTGGAAGAAGTAAATAAGCATATTAATGTGGAAGTATCACTATTCTACCAAGGAGAGTTGGGCATCTTCATGGAAAGAGATGAAGGAGCACCCAAGGACATCTCGGCTGGATCTGTGGAGGCAGTGCTCGGCCAGGTAAAGTCGTGGGCCGACAAGTTCGAGAAGCATGCCTGCAATCAGGACTATGCTTACGGGTAAGAAATGGCCAAGCTCAATGCCAAGGAGTAGCGCACTTGCTAACAGCTTGAATAGGCCCCTTCTCAATGAATACACCGTCCTACCAGCATTCAATCAATTGGACGACAGTCCACAAATTCCCGATTACACTATTGCGCATATATGGGTAAGCGAGCTTAAGCGTTCAATCTGTGCATCTAGACTGACACATGACTCAAGGCTCTCGAGATTTTACGTCTTATGGTCAAGATTGAGGAGCAAAAGAAAGTGCTATCGTCCGGTCAGTTTCCCATTTCATTGGTGTTATTTCTCACCGTCTGACAATTTATTACAGGGGCCGTTTTGGACGACGCTCAGAAGATTGAAATGACGGCTGCCGCAATAGATATGATGGAAAAATGCAAGAAATGGGTATACTCATAACTTACCATATACTACACCGTAAGAATCGCGAGACGAGGTGCTAATACCTCTAATGCTAGGTCAAATTGGCTGAACAGGATCCGGTAACGGCTGCAGGTGGGGCATTGGCGCTTATGAAAAGCCTTGGCACGGACTTCATCGAAAAGTACAAAGTAGAGGCGACTAGAAGTGCAATTTTCCGTAATTTACTTGTGAGAAGCCTTATTTGATATACGTATCTATTTGCTAACAGAAGAATAGGATCATCCCAATAACCGGCGTCGCGGACTTGATTGGAAGGCCTAGGCTTAGACAGCTATAGTGGAGAGTACGAAAGCCGTTTGCTAGGAAATGTGGCATCCGTTCCTAGCATGTTGCTTTTGAACCGTGGTTGGTCTTGGTCGCGAGCAGGAGTTACTGGCAACATGGCACCCCTGAGCTTCCCGGGATCTCTAGGCACTCTTCATCGGCCGTGCAAGATGTGGTTCGCCGCTCGATTGATATAGTATCGATTTCGCCCTCAACCGATCGATTTGATCGTTGATCGAGATTTTTTTATGCTAGTTTCGGGTAGAATGCGAAAGTTGATTAAACGAGAGGAATGTGTCTCCAAATGTGTCTGTAAAAACTCCTCTACAAGCCACCCTATAAACGCACCAAGCTGCACGCAGCTTTGTAATAAGTCAAGACGCGAAAAAAAGGGTTCTGGTCGCATATTCGAACCAACTTGTCCTTGTAGGCCTTTTAAAGGTGTTTCTGCTTGCCTTGGAGTGCTTTAGTTTAAGATAATTAGTCTTCCTATTAATTATTCTGCTTGTAACGTAAAAGGTTCTCCTCTAATATTATATAACTTGTATAGCACTTATTGGTGTTTCTATAATACTTGATAACAATGAATAATGTTAAGTGAGATATAATTACCTCTGCTTTATTATTTACAAGTACGCTAATATAATATCTTATAGTATTAACTTTTAATATTAGCTTGTCGCCTTAAAATTCTCTTATTAAGCAAAGGCTTATTAGTTTCTTTCTTATTCTACCAGCAGACACATCATCCTGGGCCTCGGTAGAACCGCGGAGGTGCCGCGGATAACTGACCGACGAGTTCGAGAGCGGCAGTCAGGTTCGCCAGGCACTGATAGACTGAGTCGCCTCCCCGAATGGTCATCCCACGGCTGACCCAGTTATCTAGGTCAAAATACCACTCTCCTGGTTAACAGATGTTACCTGGCTGGGGGGAGGTCGGATTTTGGACTTGTGTAAACAGGATCGTGTTCGCTCCACGGGCTTGTTGAGGCGCCGTGAATATTGCCAATGGCGTATACCGTAGGAATCTAGCCAAGTGCGAGGCTCGAGGCAGAGCATCTTGGCCAATCCAAGTCTGATACTCCATGGCAAAACAAACCAGATGGAGTGCGTATTTCCTTTAGGCATTTATTTCCAGCCACGAAAGATCCAGCGCCAGTTGGCTACATGGAGAAATTTGGAACAAGCTAAAAGTTGTGTCAACTACAAGGCCGTGGAAAAATCCACCATTTGCAAAATCAACACCGTTCCAATCCTTATCTACCCAAGTCTTTCCGCCACGAAAGCCTCAAGAGCTGCTTTAAGCCCCGTAAGCATGAGAAGCAGTGACTAAGGCGGTGGCTTTGGTTCTGCAGCCTTGATTTGTTTGTCTCATGAGGCTTGCCAGCTCTACCAACGAAAGCCTTATCCCTTCTCCTCACCACATTTCACATTTTTTGTCTAGTAAATATTCCCTATTGTCATGTCGTGCAACGTCAAAGGTGGCGCTGCGGCCGTCTGTCGTGAATTGAAAGGCTGTTGGGAACCCGGTCACGGGGCGCCCTGTGTCCTACAATAAAGCAGCCACGTTCTCTTCCAGCACCTTTCCAGCGTCTTTCATCATTCATTACACTTTTCTAGCTAGTTCATGGCAGTCGATGCTTGATTCCTGTTGCTCTGCTTCCCTTTTCTTTATCGCGATCCATCACGTTGGCCCCCTGGCGGCCTAATTAAGCACGATTCCAGCCTATCTGCCTCTCCTCCGTACTATGGCTAGCTCTGCAACCTCTTGGTTTCCCCTCTGGTCAAATTAACTTCCCTCTCCCTGCTTATATCACCTCTCTGAAGGTGAAGGCATATTTGGTCGTGTAGCGGCTAGTCTCATTTGGGCTAACTCTATATGTACTAGGCCAACGTCATCGAGACGCGGCTACTATAACCGCTCTAGCCGCGTTAAACGACCCCAAACATGCCTCATTTGAACCTATTATCTTTACCGAGTTGATCTTGGTGATATTCAACTGCCCCCTCTTATCGACGGCTGGATTCTCCGTCCCTATATCCGCGTCGCCCGATCAATTGTTCGTATTGATACAGACGTGGTAATGCTTACGCATCTGTTGCTACACTTCTTCATGTCGGTTCCAAGCGCGGCGTTCCTATTATAGAGATTTACCTGGGTCCATGGGCTGCTTCTTTTATTATGCAAGTCAGCCACATGGGCACCCACACCTTGATAATGCATTAGCACATATACATGGGAGGCTTTCTTAACAAGCAATTATCCATCTTTGACTGGCTGTTCCCATATATTCCTCATCCGCTAATGGGACATACCTGGAATTCCTACTACTAGAATTCCTACCACTACCATTACGTAAAGCATCACCACATTGAGGGGAACGGGCTTTGTGATAAGGGCTTAAGGAGAGCTTAAAGCTAATAGCTTAATTTATCTAATAATAGTCTTTAATATTAAAGGTTCTTAGTTTTTTAAGTTCTTAAGGGATTAAAGATCGCTATAAATATAAGAAGTTAATAAGGGTCTTTACCCTAGGTCTCGTAATCGTAGCTCTTATATAACTAGCTATTTTCGTGTAATACTAGCTTTCTCTCTTTTTAGCTCGCCTATAAGCTATTATTTAAGGGTTATAATAATATTTACTATAGGTTTTAATTAGGTGTTACGAACGTCACTGCACGAG